AGCTTCTCTCACTCTCTTTTTTTTTTTTTTTTAATGCCTAATGGATATTAAATTATGTTGAACGCCAATCCAGACAGATAGGCAGTAGAGAAAATTTGCATCTGAGGTTTTTTTTTGTTCACAATATGATGAGATGTTCGTGATCAGTGGTATTCCAAATCAAAAAGTCTTGCCCGGGTTTCTAATTGCTTCTGAAGGTTTGAGCAAAGAAGGCATTAATTACAGAAGACAGTGCTATATCACTAGTATTACAAAAGAATTGCTCTACAGTATTATAATGGAAAATAGCTGTAATATTTCATTAGAATATGTTAGAAGTACTACTGTTACCTTAATAAGAATTTGCATACTTTGTATGTGGCATTAGTATTGTATTTCAGATCTTATTTCAGTACAGGTGGATGTGAGGGTATGAGAGTCTGGTTGCTTAGAATTCATAACAATGTGCCTGACTTATTTCTGTGGAGGAAAAGAATATGCTGTAGTCTTAATTGGACACAAAGCCATCTTCAGTTGTACTCAGATCTCTACATAGCAAGTCCTCTGCAGTTAAGAGAAGCATCATCACTCTTTCTGCCATTCGGTACGGGGAGCCAGAATCTTTCATTCTTTATTTTTGTACAAATCTTTCTCACATTAACAAGCAGTACTGGTCCATAGCATGTCTTTTGTGAAGGAATGCTAACTGTTTCTAGGAGAAAAAGTATAGCTGTTGGCATTTTCAGTTTGACATTGAATATTTATTAACTGCATGTCATAAATGCCAGGGTTTTTTTTAATTGGCAGGAGTATTATCCGTTTGTTTTACTTGCTAAAAGAAATCAGTATGGGGTCAGGTAGTGAAAAGCAATAGAGAATCCTTACTTAAGTCAGGTGAAATATTTTCAGCAGAGTTCAGGGAAGCATTAAGGTGATTGTTCAAGGCTGAATAGGATTTTGTTTGGAATTATGTCACCTAAGCTCAAGACAGACAATGAAGTATGCATTTCAGTTTGTCTAAGATAGCGAGACTAGATTTGGTGATCTAAGCAGTCTTTACTCGGTTTACTTCCTCTTTTTCCAGTGTTCTCAATAATCTGCTGTAAAAACTGGAAACTGAGGTTTTTCACAAGCGTGCCCTTTCTTTTATTC